TTTTGTTTTTCACATGCTACATTATCAAATATCATTATACAAGTAGAATTATTTTTTGCCTTATCTGGTGGTATAACGCTTTCATTGTCAGAGAACGTAAACTGGGATAGTTTCCGTTTATCTTAGCAATATTCATATTTTGGTTTGGGCAACGATTTAGAATAAATAAAAATATTTCTAAATTTCAATCCATCGGGACTCACAATTCGATGGTCCCACAATTATAGCTCTAATTGAGTTAGGTAATAGAATGTTTGTCGTCAATATTTTGCATTTTTATACTCTGTACATGAAATGTACAAGAGTATATTAGGTTTGCGGGAGCTGAAAAATGTAACAGGCAGAAGGAGGCGTGGCAGACCCCACAAAGTATATATATTCTTGATCAGCATGACGAGACGAGTCGATATAGCCCTGTCTGTCTGTCTGTCCGTCTGTCCGTCCGTATGAACACCTGGATCTCAGAGACTATAAGAGATAGAGACACCAAATTTTGCACAAAGATGCGTTATGTGTGTATTCTATACGAGTTTGTTTTATTTTTTGGATTTTCCCCCCCACTTCCCCCCTATGGGGGTTTTCCCGATTTTCCATTCGTATAATCGCCTATATCTCGGAGACTATAAGACCTAGGAACACCAAATTTTAGTCCCAGTGCCTTATGTGAATACGCAGAAAATGTATATTTTGGAATTCCCCTCCCTCCCCCCTCTACCCCGCAAATCGTAACTCCCGTAATTCTTGGAATTTCGAACTAAAATTTTGGAAATACCCCCAGTTGGTTATTATGTGTCCGTATGCCAAATTTCATTATGATAGACCGATTTAACAAGAAGTTATAGCCATAAATATATTTGCTGATGCAGCGCTGCTGCAGCGCTGCCCGCGGCTGTTGTTGATGTTGCTGTTTGGTTGACTGCGAAAATGCTTACACAGACACGAATAGATGCGCATAGTCATACATACACTCACACAGACGCAATTGCTATGTAAATGTGCAATTATACACCCTTTACGTGAGTTCGAATACCGAGAGAGGTAAAATCGATCAAATTTTTATAGCCTGTACCCAAAGGGTGAAAGGCTATACTAGTTTTGTGCGCATGTATGTAACACACAGAAGGAGGCGTGGCAGACCCCACAAAGTATATATATTATTGATCAGGATGAGAAGCCGAGTCGATATAGCCTTGTCCGTCCGTCCGTCTGTCCGTCTGTCCGTCTGTCTGTCCGTATGAACGCAAGGATCTCAGAAAGTATAAGAGCTAGAATAACCAAACTTGGTTTCCATATTCTCCTAAGACCGAGAAAGTACGAGTTTGAGTTTTTTTTCGATGCACCCCCCCACTCCCCCGCAATTCGTGTTTTTTCTTATAACTTCCGTAATTCTCGGAATTTTGAAATAAATTTTGGTAGGTACATCCAGTTAGTACTAATGTGTCCGTATGCCAAATTTCATCATGATAGGTCAATTCTGAAGAAAGTTATAGCCATAAGGAAAATCGCTGCTCATGCGCTGCCTCTGTCGGCAGCGCTGCCCGCAGCTGTTGTTGTTGTTGCTGCTTTGGTTCAACTTTGTGCTGCATACATACACGCATATAAACACGCATAGGTACGTGATGTAAATGTATGATGTTAAAACTGAACATAAACATGTATTCTCATTTAATTTAATTAATTAATTCATTCATTCATTTTTATAGCCTGTACCCAAAGGGTGAAAGGCTATACTAGTTTTGTGCGCATGTATGTAACACACAGAAGGAGGCGTGGCAGACCCCACAAAGTATATATATTCTTGATCAGGATGAGAAGCCGAGTCGATATAGCCTTGTCCGTCCGTCCGTCCGTCCGTCTGTCCGTCTGTCCGTCTGTCTGTCCGTCTGTCCGTATGAACGCAAGGATCTCAGAAAGTATAAGAGCTAGAATAACCAAACTTGGTTTCCATATTCTCCTAAGACCGAGAAAGTACGAGTTTGAGTTTTTTTTCGATGCACCCCCCCACTCCCCCGCAATTCGTGTTTTTTCTTATAACTTCCGTAATTCTCGGAATTTTGAAATAAATTTTGGTAGGTACATCCAGTTAGTACTAATGTGTCCGTATGCCAAATTTCATCATGATAGGTCAATTCTGAAGAAAGTTATAGCCATAAGGAAAATCGCTGCTCATGCGCTGCCTCTGTCGGCAGCGCTGCCCGCAGCTGTTGTTGTTGTTGCTGCTTTGGTTCAACTTTGTGCTGCATACATACACGCATATAAACACGCATAGGTACGTGATGTAAATGTATGATGTTAAAACTGAACATAAACATGTATTCTCATTTAATTTAATTAATTAATTCATTCATTCATTTTTATAGCCTGTACCCAAAGGGTGAAAGGCTATACTAGTTTTGTGCGCATGTATGTAACACACAGAAGGAGGCGTGGCAGACCCCACAAAGTATATATATTCTTGATCAGGATGAGAAGCCGAGTCGATATAGCCTTGTCCGTCCGTCCGTCCGTCCGTCTGTCCGTCTGTCCGTCTGTCTGTCCGTCTGTCCGTATGAACGCAAGGATCTCAGAAAGTATAAGAGCTAGAATAACCAAACTTGGTTTCCATATTCTCCTAAGACCGAGAAAGTACGAGTTTGAGTTTTTTTTCGATGCACCCCCCCACTCCCCCGCAATTCGTGTTTTTTCTTATAACTTCCGTAATTCTTGGAATTTTGAAATCAATTTTGGTAGGTACATCCAGTTAGTACTAATGTGTCCGTGTGCCAAATTTCATCATGATAGGTCAATTCTGAAGAAAGTTATAGCCATAAGTAAAATCGCTGCTCATGCGCTGCCTCTGTCGGCAGCGCTGCCCGCAGCTGTTGTTGTTGTTGCTGCTTTGGTTCAACTTTGTGCTGCATACATACACGCATATAAACACGCATAGGTACGTGATGTAAATGTATGCTGTTAAAACTAAACATAAACATATATTCTAATTTAATTTAATTAATTAATTCATTAATTTTTTTTAATAATTTAATTTTTTTTTTTTTTAATTTTTCTTTTTTTGTGGGCAGTACAGGCTATTTTACTGTCGGGCTTGCTCGACTGTAGCGTTCTATCTTGTTTTTTTTATTTTCTTAATTTTTTTATTTTCTATAATTATTGTAAACATATGTACAGAGTATTTCAAAGTCGGGACACCCGACTTTAGCTTTTTTACTTGTTATACTCAATTTCTGTTTCATTAGCTGCATATTTAATAATTTGTCTTCTTGAATGTTTATTACTGTAAATGTATCGAACTGAGTTTCAAATAAAATGCCAACATATTTTTTTATATATATATTTCATATCCACAAAGAAAGGAATTAAACAAGAGACACTTAGCAGATAATATTTTGGCAGTGGAGTGGAGTCGCCTTAACGCAAACGATAGTAGTTTGGGAGAAAAAGCTGACATTGTTATGGGTCTACGACTGCATCGCAGATGAGCTAGCGAGAGAGGGAACGACCGTACTCTTCGATCCTGAAAAGGTGGGTATTGGTATGCCGTTGGCCTCCTTCCTGCTGATGACTAGAAACCGCGCGCTTTTATTGACCTATCAGCGCTGGGATGGTACACACACGTGTGTAAGGGCTCGGTTAACATGACCGTGGTGGGTCCGTCTGTCTGGATGAACGCAAGGATCTCAGAAAATATAAAAGCTAGAATTACCAAAGTTGGTATCCAGATTCTCCTAGGTCCGAGAAAGGTCTCAATGAAAAATTGAAAAACCGAGTATGCAGTTTTATTTGTATTCTTTTATTGATTTTATTGGTTATTCTAGCTCTTATGCTTTCAGAGATCCTTGCGTTCATACGGACAGACAGACGGACGGACGGACAAGGCTATATCCACTCGGCTTCTCATCCTGATCAAGAATATATATACTTTGTGGGGTCTGCCACGCCTCCTTCTGTGTGTTACATACATGCGCACAAATCCAGTAGAGCCTTTCGCCTTTGGGTAGAGGCTATAATGAGCATACATTACGCATAATGAATCAAGTTCTTTACGATATAAATGTTAATGGTTGTGAGAAAGGATGAAGTTCTCCACGTCCAAGAGAAAACACAAGAGTTATATTCCCTTTGTCAGGCGTAACAAATACCTGCATTATTGGAGAGATAGTTTGCGGTTGTATAATATGAAATCTCTCCCACCCACCATGACAAGTGCAAAATTCATCTTGTGGAGTGTTTCTTTGTGACCAAAACATATTGTAGTACATATATATATGTACTTCACTATAACAACGCAATAATAAAAACTTTAAGAATAAATGCCCGCAATTCTAGCTATTGAAACTTTGAACTTTCTGATAATTATATTTAATATTGCTTCCCAAATAACGTATGGCTTCCAAACGTTCAAAACTATCAAAAAATATGTTTACGAGCAAATTTCATTATATCAAAGTTTGATAGCGCTCTATTAGGTAGCTGTTCTAAAAGTTTTTTGTATTCGAAGCAGTGGTAATCCCATACCCCTTATGATATGGATTAAGATAAAATCCCTTGCCACTGCAATAGATTCCATTCTTCGATTATAACGTTTATTTTCTTCAAGTTGGTTTATAACATTATTTGCATGTGAAATTGTTTTAGCAATAGACGCTCCGCCAGGTGCAAGCCCCCCAAGTGCTACGAGGATTGTTAATATTATTTATTTATTTATAATTATAGTTCTAAGTCAAAAGTTGTTCGACTAAACAAATTTCGCAGTAAAATGGACTAATTTCTCGAATAAACGAACACGGCTAAACGAACTTCGTGCACTGTATCTCCCATATTAAATTCCCTTATTGAATATATAGAATTTTCACTTTGTGCAAATTTTCGGCAGCGTACTTTATTTTGAATATTTGTAAATTGTTTTTTCGTATAATAAATATATATCATTGTATTTGTTTTAAATATCTAAGTTATTATTTATTTGATTCCACTTAGCGACTAACAAAATAAAATAAAGCAAATTATTGCTTCTCATGAAAACGAGGCGCATTTAATTGGCTTGGTTGCTTGGCCTGCATTCCTTTTATTTTATATGGTATGTAATTATTTTTTACAACTTATTGTTTGGAAAAACGATTATAACTAAAAAATAAAAGCAAATATGTGTGTCTAAAACAATAAATATTAATATGTAGCACGAAATGCATTCCGGCCAATTGTTTGATATACATACATACATAAATACATAAGATATGGATGGTTTTTCATACATACGAGTACACGCTTACTCAACAAAACATGTGTAACTAAAACATAAAAATAGTCATATGGAAGCAAAACTGCGGTCAGATCAGCGAACGGCCCAGGGGAAGCACCAAAAACGAACCTTATTTAATGTTAAGTTTCTATCAACGTTCTTTGGAATTGTTTAAGGTTTTTATTTTTAAGTAATTGGTTGCTTTCAATAGTAGTGAGGGAAGTGGTGAGGAGGGTTGACAATTATCCAAGCGCCTTTTCGTTGTCTGTGTTATGTTTATCATCAAAAGCATATTACGTGGGAATTTTTATTAACTTAGTTATTGTTTATTGCACTGTTCACAGCAACAAGCTCAGGCACAGAAGAGGAGCCAGCACTGCTCTGACTGGCAGTCCGCCCATGGCTAACATGGTTGCCCGTTCCTGCGCTGCTCCTATTTACTGAGGCTGTCGGCGTTGGCGCAACAGCAGCTGCTGTTGCCGCATCTGCTGGCAAATCGGCATTTGTAGAAGTCACCACAGGCTCCACGGTTGGGAATTCAGCCGGCGTCGTAGGGTTTCCAACAGGCGTTTGTACCATGGGTGTGGGCGGTGAGCGATTTGCAGGCAATTGATGTGCTGTAGCTCCAGACATTTGCATGTGGTATCTAAAAATGCAAAGAGCAAGAGTGTGGGGTTAGTTCGATGTAGATATCTAAATATTTTAATACCCTGTACCAAAAGGGTAAATTGGTATCACAGTTTTGTTCGAATATATGCAACGGTAGAACGAGGCGTGGCACACATAGTATGACACGACGAGTCGATATAGCATTGACGTCCCGTCCGTCTTGATGGACACAAGGATCACAGAAAGTATAAGAGCTATAGTACCCAAGTTTTGTATCCAGATTCCACTAAGCCATAGGCAGATAAAGTTTAGTTTGTTTTATTATTATCTCCCCGCTACCTAATTTCGTCAATACTGTTCACAACTCAAATGCTACAAATTTCATACAAATTCTAAGAAATCCTTTTAACTAAATTTAAGAAATATTGTTTCAATCGAGCTGCACTTTTTTTCATCTTTGATAGTAGGTTCGTTTTAATAGTATGTAAACTTAAGCTTCACGATTTGACTTTTAGCCATACCTTTACCAAACCCACAATATGCTGTGGGTTGTAAAAATTTTCCACAATCGAGCTTGAGAGATATTTACAAATTTTACTTTTAACGATTGAGTCTAAGTGTACAGTATACACATAGCCCTCGCTTAACGCTAACTCTTTTAATGCTAACTCGATTGCAAAATTGCTACCTTTTCTCTTTTAACGCGGTGAAATACCTTTCTAACGCGATTGACAAATCGATTTTTTTATTTTGTCGATTATTGCATGATTATTTTTGGGTATAGTATGTATCACCACACATGAGATGTGTGTAGAAAAAGGGAAGCCCCACTTTCTACACCATCAGAGTAAGAATAGTGCATACTCGTATGTCCATACATAAATAGTTGCTAAGGTGAGCAAAACTTTATTTCTTCAGACGCGCACATAGTAAGAATGAATAAAATTAGACAATTATATATAAATTATGTGTGCAAAGTTTGGTTTAGGTAGCGTTTGAAATGTGGACGCTATTGACGAAATTCTGTAGCGGGGGAAGGGGGGGGAAAATTAAAAAAAAATAAAATAAACTCGTCCTTTCTCGGACCTAGGAGAATCTGGTTGCCAACTTTGGTTATTCTAGCTTTTATAGTTTTTGAGATCCTTGCGTTCATCCAGACGGACATGGCTAGATCGATTTCTCTCGTCATGCTAATTCAGAATATATATACTTTATGGGGTCGGAGATGCTTCCTTCTGCATGTTACATACTTTACACAAACCTAATATACCCTTTTTACCCTACGGGTACAGGGTATAAAAATATTCATAATTTTTTGGTCGCAGTTCGCATTGAATCAAATGAAACTAAAGAAAGCATCTCACAAATACGAAACCAGTATTGCGAGTCGGAGCAACAGAGCACGCATATGTAATGCGGACTCTTTTACTCCCAACTACCTATTCGCTATGTACGTGTTCAGTGAAACTACTTAGATAAGTTCATACTTTAATAATCATGCCTCATGGCAAAATGCAGAAACGATCAGGTAACCGGTTCATCCACTTGATTCTGTTTTGAATTGCATTGTTTTGACTTTGCAATTGTATGGACAAGTTTTTGTGCATTTAGCACTTTGTCTCTCCGATTTCTTCATGTTTATACAAATACATATGTACATATGTAAAATTCAGTCAGTTTCATAATATCATTTGGGTATTTGGGTCATTTATTATTTCAGATGATTTCCAAACCAAAGAGTCTCCGTGTAAACGCATTAATATATACATATATATATATAAACATATATTTATACATATATACATACTAATATAATAAATATAATACAATTTGTTTTCAATTTGCAACTTACTTGTAAATGTTCTCGGTGCTTTCAACAACACCTTGTGTCAAATTAAGGCTGCGACCCTTAATACCCGACTCTTTTGCTGGCGGTGACCACCAGTTGAATACGCGCCCTACCACTGGCACATGGCGTAAGATACCCTCCTGCCACAGTTTCTCTTCGGTCTCGCGTTGCAAATCCGCTGTAGCAGCTTCAATTCCCTGTGTTCAAAAATTATTGATATAATCGATTTCTATAAACACTAAAGAGCGCTTTCTCACTTTCTTCACTATTTCAGACATGGTGTCTAGCACGCGTGAATTTTCTTGCACACTTTTGCCCATAGTAACCACCAGATCAAGAAGTTCTTCTACTTCCGTTTCGTGAGTTACCATACCAAAGCGTACACAGATGAGGCCATCCGGGCCCTCGACAAGCGAAAAGGCATTATCCGTTGATTTAAGCGCTTCCACTAGGTCAATGTTAAGCTTATTGAGTTCCGTTTTCGCCTGATCTGTGAGCAAGGATTCCCAACCCTCTGGCACAAAGCGCACGCCACCCATGCCTGCCCATTCGGGCAGCGGCACCAGACGCAATACGTCGCTCTTTTCAACCAGGTGAATAAAGCGCGCCTTGTGCTTGATGGTTGCACGCAATATATCTACATGTGTCTCCAAACTCTGTGCAAAGCTTTCCAGATTCTCTGAAGTGGGTGGTTGCTCACCCAGCCCCAATTCTAGTGGACAATAACGTATGCAGCCTCCATGTGTGGGATGTTCAATGACTTCAAAATCGAGCTGTAAAGTAAAAAAAAACAATTTGTGCAAGATTGAAGAATCGAAAAAGAGAAATTAAATGTTTGATATTGATCCACGCAAATATAAATATAGATCTAATTATCAAACGTAGTTTTTAGGTATATTGTTCTTACATTTGGGCAATCGCGTTGCAGAATTTGTCCCAGCCAAGAGTTAAGACGATCAAAGTATGAAGCATTATTAAGTTTCTCTAAAGGCTTTAGAGCTGCTTCGGCGTCATCTGTTTCCACAGAGGACGTAGTCAGGACAGCTGTGCTGCCATCAAACTGATAGACGACTACGGGAGCAGCAGCATCGAACAAGGTGTTGACATCAAAGGGGCTTTTGAGGATGTCCGACAAAGCGGCGCCGGTTTGAGCACCGGGTGTGTGACTCTGTACAAAAATAATCCTGAATTACTATTTCTATTAAAAGACACATAGGTGTAATACATACCAGCACACGTATGCCTTCACATTTTGATGCGATCTCGTACAGAATATTGCAAGTCTGAAATGCAACATGCAAACGTTCGGCAATCGTCTTACGACCGAGCGCTTGTAAACTTGTCCACAGGGACAATGCATTAAGGCGCCGTGATAATATAGGATCCGATTCAAAAGCGCTCAGCGCAATGTTTAACAACGGTCGATGCAAGAGCACAATCGGCAAACTGGGCACTCCTAACCAACTGCCTAAATTTAACGCCATTGAATGAACTACATCATTAACGTTCCCAGGACTCTGTGCGCAAACCAATGCGGCCAAACCATGACCAGTGGCATGCAGCCACATGTTTTCCGTCTTGCAGATATCGCGCATGCGTTGCAAATTATCCACATGTCCGCACAACGACGCCCCAATATCTGCGACCACAAGCAGCGGAGTCCGATTGGCGCTTAAGTCCAGCTGCACCTGTTTTTGTAGTTGCGCCAGATCCATGGTTCCGTACTTACTATTCTGTGGTATCACTTTAATGGCGTCCAGCGGTATGCTCAACTGTCTACACGCATATTGGAGTCGAACTGGCGTTGTATTTTCCGATATATAAAAACAAGGCTGAGCCAACGCTGGAATGCCACCCTCTAAATACCCTGGACAACGTGCCACTATGGCCAGGCGAACTATGCGCAAAACTGCATCCGCATTATCTGCATGAAAGCTACTCGCTGCATTGTCAAAGTGGAAGAGCGTACCAAGCCAGCGTGTAGCATCGCCTGAAATGGTGTTTGTTACACGCAGTAAATGCTGCCTGTCTAAGTGCGACAGATACGCTACAATGCTGTGTGATATCAATGCCAAATGAGATACATCATCCAGTGCCGGTAACGGAAACTCGGGATCGTCGTCACTCTCCGAATAGGCGACGAGTTGTTCCAGCGACTTTAATATATCTGACGGGACACGACGTTCGTGAAGCAGCTGCGTATCCAGCACAGTAGCCACTTCGTGTCCAATTTTACTCGCCATCTCATCGTTGCTGTCTTCAGATGTTTGTGCTGGTTTGTAAGCATCCTGCTGCACACTACTTTTCACATTCTCCAACCGCTGCAGCACTTGCGAGGATCGTAGTTCCAATTCAGCAAGCCCAGAGCGTATCTGAGTAAGTAAATAAACAAACGGGTTGAGAACAGTTGTAATCGTTGACGTGTCTTATACAGCGTCATCAAAACTTACGCTAGATGCAGCAATTTCTGCAACCACTGGTATTGATGTTTCCGTTGACGGCGGCTGCAGCTGCTGAGCAGCTTTTGTGAGCTCGTCATCAATTCCTGCAGCCGCTGACATGGTAATGAATCAACTACTTGGGCGAAATTGTTGCGGGTCTAATTGTAAAAGTGGACCTACGGGTCGATTTTTGATTTTTATTAAGAAGCGCACGTGTACGTGCGCTTTTATTTCCCAACTTTATGAAACCGTTTTTACAACCATAAAATAAATTCATACGATAGGAAAATATTAAAGACACGGACACGAATACCTCATAAAAAGTACTTTTAGCGGCGACGTCGCTGCTGATTTGCACAGCGTTGCCACTTGTCACATACGGTACGTGGCAGCTATCGTTAGGTATCACTGTTTCATTAAGTTGGCAGCACTGTTTTGGCTATTTACCCGGCGCGTCTTCAAATTGGAAGTTTTTGTTTGCCAGTAAACATTTTCTAATCAATTAGCGTTTCTTTGTGTCTTTATGTGATCGAAAATTATTTGTTTTTGCGCAGCGCGTTATGCATGCATCCGACGACGCGACGTAAACATTTCGAAACGGTAGCCGTTATAGCTTGAACGCCATATAAAGGACGGAACATATCTATATCGATATGTAAATATTTTTTTTTTACTAGTAGTTTTTTTACGCAGCGTAATGCTGTTTCCAAACAGTGCTGGACATGTGCCAAACTGCCAATGAGGCCATTAAATGGAATGAATAAATAAAACTGTCCATAACATCTAAACTGAACAAGCTAGGTCGTTACTTTATGGCTTTTTTAAGGGCATAACTACGACTTAAATTTGAATACATTTTAAATTGAGTAATATACATATGTATGTACGTACATACATATGGATGTACATATGTAATCACAAGGGTCGATTTAATGTTCAAAACTAAAACAGAGCTGTACGGCAATTCTAAGTTTAAAAGTTTGCGCACTCTCTCTTCCAATATCGTTTATAATTTCCGCACATTACAACCCATCCCCTCCCCACCCCTTACCACTTTCATGCCATTAGTGATTTTCCACATAATTGTTGGAATTGTGCGAAGTTAAAGCTCGGCTTGCTTGCTATGTCCACTGGTCTATATCTAGTTTGCTTTTGGGACTTTATACAGTTGTCATATATATATACAAGTATACATATATAAATGTAAATTCTAAAATTTATTCACATCATGCATACAGATACATGTTAACACGTTACGATATTTTTCACGCTAAAATTTATTATATTTTATATTTAAAAAATTTCCTAAGATATTCGCAACAACATCATCTGTGATAGGTGCGATTTGGTAAAGCCCAGTTGGACTCATTTTAAATACTGCATTTTCTGAAAGGTGTTATGCCTAAACAGAAGAAGACAGCCTTGACTTCGGTGGAGAAGTATGAGCTGGATGCCTGGTTGCAGGAGCATAATATCAATCCCAATAATTTGCGTCGCTCATTTACCGATGTGCTACCATTAGCTCGTCTTCTGTCCCGTTTATATCCAGAACTGGTGGATGTTAATCACTATCCACCGCGCAACAGCGTACAATCCAAGATATCCAACTGGACGCTCTTTAATAAGCGAGTTCTAGAACGCTTAGGTGTACGTATTACGCGAGAGGAGATGGATCGTGTGGCGCGCAGCGTACCTGGCTCCATAGATTTGCTCTTATTTAGCATTATGCGTGCACACATGGAAACGGTAGGCAAACGCAAAGAACAAAGACAACTGAGGCATGAAGAGAATACTGGTGATAGCGCTGCTTCGGACGATGATAAAACGTCTCAGCAAGATGACATCGACAAACCGGAGGAAACTATGACAACGGATGACTTAAATACATCTTTGGCACCAGTCGCGTCGGGAAACGAAGTGGTGGAAGCGAGGCCCCAGATGCTACGCTCTCACATTGCAGACACAGGTCTAAATTCGCCGGAACGCAGCCTGGTCAGTAATGCAAAGAAAACATTTAACTCCCCTGCTATTTTCGCAATTCCTGCTATACAGAACAAGACAGAGATGACACGTGGCGGGAGTGACTCTGGCGTTAGCGCGAAACAGCGGAGTGGTACGCCGCAGGCACGCAGGAACCCGAGCAAAAACGAGAAGAATAGAGAGGCCGTCATGGTGAATGTCCGCAAACAAATAGGTGATCTTGTCTGTGAGATACCCCAAAAAATGGTTCTTTATTCCGTCTATGCGCAGGCCGTCGACCAGCTCAGACACAAAAGAGCCAAGATAGCGCAATGTGACCAAAGGAATGCCCATCTGGAGAATATGCTGCAACTTAAAACCGAACACATTGATGAGCTGCAGAATCAAATTCACCACGCACGGTTGCATCAGTGGGTCATGCCGCCGATGGTGGAGACTCTTCAAGGGCGCGCTGAGGGTGGTCAGGACGGTATGGTTACAAAGGGTCAGGTATAAAGCCAGAAACCCTCCAGAAACTCAACTTCCACCACTGTTGTTGGGAATATTTTATGACAAAAATTTTCAATTCCATAATAGCTCGATAAATTAATATTTGGTTCGAATAAATTACAAGTGCATGAACATAAAAATCAACATGTTTACGCTGTAAAGGCTTAACGTTAATAAAATATTACTACCTGTTGATTAGGTAAAGTATCTAGTCCCAAAAGCAAGATTGCAACTAACTAAATATCGACAAGATAGAACGCTACAGTCGAGCAAGCCCGACAGTTAAATAGCCTGTACTCTCCACAAAAAAGAAAAATTAAAAAAAAAAAAAATTAAAAAAAATTAAATTATTAAAAAAATGAATGAATTAATTAATTAATTTAATTAAATTAGAATACATGTTTATGTTCAGTTTTAACAGCATACATTTACATCACGTACCTATGCGTGTTTATATGCGTGTATGTATGCAGCACAAAGTTGAACCAAATCAGCAACAACAACAACAGCTGCAGGCAGCGCAGGGGGAGGTGGGGGGTGCATCGAAAAAAAACTCAAACTCGTACTTTCTCGGTCTTAGGAGAATATGGAAACCAAGTTTGGTTATTCTAGCTCTTATACTTTCTGAGATCCTTGCGTTCATACGGACAGACAGACGGACAGACGGACGGACAAGGCTATATCGACTCGGCTTCTCATCCTGATCAAGAATATATATACTTTGTGGGGTCTGCCACGCCTCCTTTTGTGTGTTACATACATGCGCACAAAACTAGTATAGCCTTTCACCCTTTGGGTACAGGCTATAAAAAACTTGTACATACATATATAAATTTTATTCTTAACTCTTATGAAAAAGACAAAACTAAAACAACCAAAAGAATAATCATTATTATACTCTGTACATGAAATGTACAAGAGTATATTAGGTTTGCGCGAGCTGAAAAATGTAACAGGCAGAAGGAGTCGTGGCAGACCCCACAAAGCATATACATTCTGTCTGTCTGTCTGTCCGTATGAACATCTGGATCTCAGAGACTATAAGAGCTAGAGATACCAAATTTTGCACAAAGATGCTTTATGTGTGTACGTTGTGCAAGTTTGTTTTATTTTTTGGATTCCCCCCCCCCCCCACTTCCCCCCTATGGGGGTTTTCCCGATTTTCCATTCCTATAATCGCCTATATCTCGGAGACTATAAGACCTAGGAACACCAAATTTTAGTCCAAGATGCCTTTTGTGAATATGCAGAAAATGTATATTTTGGAATTTCCCTCCTTCCCCCATCTCCCACGCAATTAGTGATTTTCCATAATTCCCGTGTTTCTTGGAATTTTTCATCGAAATTCGGAAAATACAGTTATTATTAGTTAGTTAGTTATTATGAGTCCGTATGCCAAGTTTCATAATGAAAGGCCGATTTAACACAAACACACACATGCATTCATAAATTTTGTATACATATGTACAGAGTATTTCAAAGTCGGGACACCCGACTTTAGCTTTTTTACTTGTTTTGATTTGCTTTTACCCATCTTCTAATGTAACGGCACATCAGTAAAATATCATTTAATCTCATTATCTCTTCGCTGATGATCGCAAATGCGTGAAAATTTTAAATTAAATAAAGTTTAATATAGTTTATTAATTGTAATAAAAATATCAGTAATTTAGAAAATAGTTTTCTTTCAAGTGTGTAACGTCACGTCAGATTGTAAATAATTTCATTGCATGGTATTTTGTTTATTAACAATTTACTTTTAATTGCGGCTTAAGCAAGTGGATTCATCAAAAAAAAATTAAAATTACTTAAATATTTGCACGAAGTTTTCCCTATTTTGCTTCTGATTTGGTTTTGTTTGTTTTTTTGCAAGCTTTTTGACAGGATTTATTTTTCAACTTTTCACGGCTAAGGTGCGTTCAAATGGGTAAAATTAATTATCTTATAATTAAACTTGCGTTAAATAATATTTTAAAAACAATCCTAACCAAAAATTTTCCAAAGGAAATTATGTAACGTCACGTCAGACAATAATTCAAATTAAAAACTAGAAAGGAATGATAAAGTCGAGCGGGCTCAACTCTTAAATACCCCGTACCATCCCACAAAAATAAAAATAAAAAATAAAAAAATTTAATTAATTAATTTATAGCAAACATTTACATCAGAATCGTGTCTCTGCGTGTTTATATGCAGTAAAGAAATAAGTCAAAGCAGCAACAACAACAGCAGCTGCTGGCGGAGCTTTGGCAGAGCTTTCTCTATCTGGAGGTATTTGCGAAATCTGAGTACGAAATTCCACAAATTACGGGATTTATGGAAAAGCATCAGCAAAAAAAATACAAACTCGACCTTTCTCGGACTTAGGAGAATCTGGATACCAAGTTTTTAATATTGCTATTCTAGCTCTTATACTTTCTGAGATCCTTCCGTTCATGCAGACGGACAGACAGACATGGCTATATCGACTCGTCTTGTCATCGTAATCAAGAATATATATACTTTGTGTGTTACATACATTCGCACAAAACTAGTTTACCATTTTATCCTTTATCCTAGGGTATAAAATGAGTACATTTTAAATAATAGAACTTGAATACTAAACTTATATTTATTTAAAGCGTACTGTAAAAATTCCAAGCAATTCGCAGGGTTTTTTAATTTTGTAATTCAAAACCCACTTTTTTGTAACGTCCTGACGTGACGTTTTTGGCCTATTTTGGCTTATATCTTATAAGCTTCAAGGTCAAATGCTATAATTTTTACCGCATATAGTGGTATTAAACTACTACTCAACTATAAAAAAACTTTTTAAAAATTTTACATTTTCATTTATTTATTTAATATTTTGTCACATCACCTCAGATTAGAAATCCCCATATCTGTAAATTCCTCGCTTTCTCAAAGTTACTATAAGTGAATGATTTTTTCGTTAAAAAAAAAACAAAATAAACAATTTTTGCAGTCCCTGCTATAAGCAATGTCCATTTAAAACTTCCAAAAAGAATTTTCCCCAAATTTCAAATGTAACTTCTTTGGAAGCTTCTCATACACATATACAAACCAACTTCTTCACTGAATAGTAGAGTCAAAGCCATCGTTTAATGCATAATTTGAAAGCTTTATTCAAGACCTTTTCTCTGATTATGACCAATCCATATTGATCTGTACTATACAACCAATAACAGTTCGAAATCGCTGTGAAGTGTTCAGGCAAGTGTGCTTACAGCGTGTGCTGTTGCTTTTAGAACTACAGGCACAGCTTTTTCAAAATATGTACATAATTTAATTCGAAATTCAAAAAGATCAAATCTCTTTCGAAAGTCAAATTTTAAAAAATTACGATACCATCCAAATAACATGCAAATTATGTGCATTTATAAAAACAAAATAGGATGTAAGTATACAATCAGCAAGTTCGAAAAATGTAAAATGTACCACCAAATATATATATTCTATAGTACATGAGTTTGATTATATGCTGCGCTCAACTGGCTTAAGTATGACCCAAATTTATCAGAGTAGGTAGGTGCGGCAGCCAGAGTTTAAACACTGGCTCACTTAGGCCATAACGATTTGGCCCATTGTGGCCCGCGTGGACAAGTCCACTTCCCATATCCCCGTGGTTGGCTGCATTTCTGGTGGATGTTTCAATTCAATTCCTAAGAAATAGCCGGATGGCGAAATAGGTGCAGCCATCCTGCTCAGAGTTTTGTAGTGTATGCATGCGCAGTTTCTCACCTTCCTATCAGAATCATGCTAAGTTATTTTATGACTGGTTTTGTTTGCGCCTTATCCACTTGCTTTTTACAGCTTTTTCGGCGCAGCCACTGCTCTCGCAAATTAAAACCTTTTTTGTTTTAGCCACGCAAAGCCCTCTCCAACATGCTTCGCCACCGATATAAGCTCAAACCCAATAATAATTTAGACGGGCCACCCCATCATAAGTACATGACCTTCCACAGAAGGGCGCAAAGCACAAACCCTTCGCGCACCTTTCCAGTGCTGCTGATTGTCATTCGTCTCGTAGGGGGACACTCAATTAAAAAGGTTCCTATTAGGCGCGCTTACATGCATTGCCTGCATAATGGATTTCGAAAACGTCTGAATCCACATTGACCAAACTATGTACATATGTATGTAGAGTTTCCAAGCTACTATTCACTTTGTTTATAAACGACCTTCCTTCTATCCTGTCACATTCTCACATACTGATGTATGCTGATGATGTGAAGCTCATTCTTTCATATAACAGTCCTCTCCTTCAGAGTACTGCTCATGAGTTTGGTGTCCGCAATACAAAACGCATAATAATATATATAATATATATATATATATATATATATATATATATATATATATAAGCTTCTCCCTGTTAAGTTTTTTTTATCGGTAGATCTATTGATAATATTCCCCCACCGGGTCGGAGGCGTTAATTAGATATTAGTGTAATTTGATCAGATTTCTCCTTTTTAGGCTTATAAGATGCTTTTTATAATTTTTATGTACTATTTCCTATGTCGACAGTCAATGTTTGTTGACATAAATAAATAAATAAATACAGAAGTTTGTCAATAATGCCCATAATTCCAAAGTGACATACGCAGATCTTTGCATGTAATTACCAGCACACATCTTAACATTGTTGCCAATTTGGCTTTTTGCAGAGCTGTGCCTAATTGTTGCATTTAAAGTGTTCACCAAGAAGATCAAAACCCTTGGAAAATATATTTTGCTAAGCATTTCTTGTAAAAATAAATGTAGATTTTTATTACGCTTTTTTGTAAAAAATTTTATTTTCTAAAAAGTTGGCAACACTGCATCTTAAGCACCCCCGAGCGTTTTGGCCATTTTAGTGTGCTCGACAAAATGTTCGACGCTAGATGCTCGGGTTGAATTTGAGTGCGCGACGTTTTCCTCGTGTAGAATAGAAATGTTTCTATCATGCTGTTTTTCTTGGCAACAGTGTTGCCCCATCATGATTTGTAAAAAATATTTGGGAAGTACAAACTTGTGAAAATTAACAAAGAACTCGTGCTTCATTTTTTGGAATGCTTGCACAATGAGCCGTCGTTGTGGAAAAACAAATGCGACAATAAAGCATGTGACATATTATTAAAAACAAAAAGGAAATTTAAAAAAAAAATGTTTTTAAATTCAATTAATTAATTAAATATAAAATATTCAACACATGCATACAGACATAAGTGCTTATGTACAATTTCAACAGCATAGATTTACATCAGAATCGCGTCTATGCGTGCTTGTATGCAGTAAAAATAAGTCAAAGCAGCAACCCCTGCCGGCAGAGCTTGGGCAGAGATTATGTTTATGGCTATAACTTTGTTCATAATTAACCTATCAGGATGAAACTTGGCACACAGCCACATAATCACTATATGAATGTTTAATTTAAGTACAAAATTCCAAGAAATACGAGAGTTACGGGAATTATGGGAAAAACACGAATTGCGGGGGAGTGGGGGTTGCATCAGCAAAAAAATACAAGCTCGTCCTTTCTCGGACTTAGGAGAATCTGGACACCGAGTTCGGTTATTCTTGCTTTTGTACTTCCTGAGATCCTTCCGTTCATACAGACGGACGGACAGACGGACACGGCTATATCGACTCGCCTTGTCATCCTGATCAAGAATATATATACTTTGTGGGGTCTGCCACGCCTCCTCCTATGTTACATACATTCGCACAAAACTAGTATAGCTTTTTACCCTTTGAGTACAGGCTATAAAAATATTTTCCGATGACGCATAATTTTTTGAATTCGGTACCGAGAGCAGGCTTAATATTTTTGCAGTTGCGTTTATTTTTTTACATCCACAATCTATTGCTAGCTGTACTATTAACACAGAGAGAAGAGTGTACGCAAAGCGCATAAACAACGAAAATCCCAATTATTTAATTAACGGGCAAGCCAGTTATGTCAGCAATGTAATTCAAGAAGGAAGTCAAACGCACGTAGCCTGACGGATATCCCGACGTGCATTGGTCTTCGGCCACAAAGGAATTGATACCAATTTGTACATAGGAGCCACTGTCTGTGCCATAAATAATCAATGGGCCACCAGAATCGCCGCTGCAGGGAGACATATTACTGCTCGCAAGCCCATCGGCGCATATGGTCGAGTCCAATACCACATCTTTACCATAAATGCCCAAACACTTGACATTATCAATTATCTGCACTTGTGCGTACAACAAATTCGGCGAATAGTCCAAATATTCATCGTCCATCAAACCAAAGCCCGCGATAGTTCCTACTGTGCCCACAAAACTGGTGCTCTCCTGTGCACTGCTCACGAGCTCGATAGCCTGTACCTTGTCCGAAAAGACCAGCTGCTGAGGTAGCTTTATCAATGCAATATCATTATTCATCTTGTCATTGTAGTTTGGATGCACATATAGTTGGGTTGATGTCATGTTTAATGCTTGTTCATCATTTAATTCATTGGTGCCAAAAACCAAAAATATAGAGTCACGTCCATAGGCACAATGCGCCGCTGTCAGCACCCATGATCTAGAGATGATGGAGCCGCCGCATAGCAGATCGTCCCATTCATCACGCTTTAGTATAACCTGCCAGGGAAATTGACCCGCTGCTGCTACTGTGCCAGATATGATTCGTCCTTGCTGTACATATGTATACCATTTGTTATTTGAATTTGTAAAAATTGCTGAAATTTGTGTGATAGTTTCCAACAATTTCTTGGAGTAGATACACACACATTTGTACTTACAATTTTTTTAGTATTTTGTGTATCCGCTCTTATGCAGCTGATCATTATGAGCAGTAGCAATTTTTTCGGTATCCCCAACATAATTTTTACAGCGTAGTTTGCTTGGCGTCGTTTGCAGCACCTGCCACCAATTTTCACAGAAAGTATATGACGAAATTTATAGAAATTAACTAAGCCAGCAACTATTTGTATGGCATGCCTTCTTGTTCTTTTGTTTAATTGGTCGACTTGTTGCTGCCTATACAAATCTTGTTGTTAACACTACTCTCCCCGTCTTCCAGCAACGGTGTTACTCACTTGCCTACCGATAAGATTAGCTGCTACTCACACGGTAATTTGTTGTCTCCATTCTCCCACGTCGACCATCAATTTGCTAACTGAAATGTCAATTTATTTACCCTTATCGCGGGAAAATTTTACACGGGTCAACAAAGTTAAGCAAGCAACTTATTGAAGGAAAATACATTTGCACGCAAAATAATAATCATTAACGATTTGAAGCAAAATTAAAAATATTCTGACAACACATTTGAGGCGTTACTAGCTAGATACATATGCAAGTGGCCGTAAACAGTCTTAAATCACCGGGGAAGTGAGGTCTGAGCCCAATGTCCAATAACAGTCTTTTGGACTGAAACGCCTCATATCGGCAGTCATTTTTTGCCAATTTTAGCGATAAAATTTCAAAGTAGTCGCGCCATCTATGAAATGTTTTTTTTTTTTAAATTAGATAGTCCCTTTATATTCAGTTAGAATGGCAATGTGTACATATTGTTTGTACTACCGTTTATTGTTTTGATCGTGGCTTTGATCTGTCAGTGCATACATACATAATTAATTGCTAAATTATAAAAATGGATGAACGAAAACGCGTGATTGGTTTAACAATAAGAACAAAAGCTACAAATTATTGTCCACAAAACAGATCATCAACCAACCGTATTACAAGCAAGAGAGAATGCTACAGTCGAGCAAGCCGTGTAATACCCTGTACCCAGGAAAACTTCCGTCACTGAGTTATATGAGCCCATAGCAGCAGCAAAAAGAGGAAGAAGAAGAGCGAACTTGTTGCTGCAGTTTGGTGGGTTGCACTGGAGAGAATTTGTTTCGCTAATAACTTTTCTTAGAATTGACCGAATTGGATCAAATTTAAATTAAAAGTAGATAACTGTATATAGATTGCGTGTGCAAAGTTTGGCTTATGTAGCTTTTGAAATGTGGACAGTATTGACGAAATTCTCTAGCGGGGGAAGGGGAGGGGGGGGGGATATTCCGAAAAATAAAATAAACACCTTTCTAGGAGAATCTGAATACCAACTTTGGTTATTCCAGCTTTTATAGTTTCTGAGATCCTCGCGTTTATCCAGACGGACAGACGGACGGACATGTCTAGATCGATTTCTCTCGTCATGCTGATCAAGAATATATATACTTTATGGGGTCGGAGATGCTTCCTTCTGTATGTTACATACTTTGCACAAACCTAATATACCCTTTTTACCCTACGGGTACAGGGTATAAAAAGTAAGCTGAAAACCAAAAATCTGCAGTCGCGAGTATTTTGTCAAAAAATAAATCCTCATCTTAATGATGAAATGAAGAAGTCAAATTGAAAAATATGTTTTTTTTATTATAAATGCTAGATGTCACACTGCTATAGAGGCTTTAGAAGAAAATATTAAAATTGTCCACCAAATACAACTATTCTAATGACATTTAAATTAGTGTACTATATAGACGCATCAACTACTAGTCGCTGTAAATCTTTTAGTTTTGAAGACAAATTTCAGACTTTTTAAAAACAAGTTGATACATGTTCAAAAATGTTATATCAAAGTCTCAGTAATGAGACTGCATTGAAAATTAATTATGTATGTACATACTTGTATAATAACATAAATAACATAATACAACTTCATATATTGTCAACAAACCGCAAGAGATATACATTTTACTTAAAAATTAAAGTTATGTTAGCTGCCTTCTTAAGATAGCTGCCTCAAAAGTCTGTGCAAAGTATTGGATGCATCTAAGCAAATTATACTGTAATATATTCCACGCTAATATGTACAACCGTAATCGCGTATGCAAGGTACTAGATTAGATGATGATATTAATCATCCACTGCTTCAGCTGTCAGTCTTCAAGCCAACATAACTTTGTCATAATTAATTAATTAAGTAATTAAACAAATTTTTTTTTTAAATTTGCTTTTTTGTGGAGAGTACAGGGGCTTATTTTACAATATTTTTATATGGTCGCACTTTACCGATGCGTTGAAGCTCTATCCTAAGCCGTGTGATCGCTAGTAATTAGTCAAATATTTGTGACACCATTGGAAGCGTCTCATGTTCATTCTTAGACATTATCAGAAAGAATAGAAATGTGAAAGATAGTAACTTAAGCTCATTTTACATGCAGCTCATATTACATACAATTTTGATTATACCAGTATTAAGCATTCTCGATCCCAACACTCTACCACTACCAAAGTAGATTACCTTATAGCTGCCCGCTAAATTCAAATATCAGGACTTTCTTTTGACATTCCTCAGTTGGATCATGGCTACGTTTTTGTCCACCGGGAAAGCCTTTCGGTTGTTGTATCAACATGGGTTGCAAAATGCACTTACACTTAAATTACATGATTCATTCGTCCGAACCAAATTTGCCGACCCTTGCCTTATTCATACGAAGGCCGCGCTTATACGAGTATAACCATATTCATCAATGAAAAACTCACTCTCGGGAGAAATTTTTGTTTTATTTAAACAATTTGATATCGTCCACCCCTTACAGCTCAAGAAAAAATACTTTCGTCGATAAAATTATAAACTTCCAAAAACATATTCCTTATATAAGATGTATATGTAGGCCTACACATAGATATTCGACACAAATCCATTTTCGGGCACTCGGGTCTTTATTTAAGCATATAAACACCATGACCTGAGCTTCATGGCATACATAGCATACACCTGTTCATAGTTCTCTGCGAAATGAGCTTCAAGTCCCTTCGTAGTGAAATCGGCCATCTCCTCATAGTCCCCTTTATTGTCAGGTGGCAATATGAGGCATATGCTGCTCCCTAAAAGCACTGGCAGGGTGCTGTGCTGTGTAACTTCCCCAACCATGGCCACATTTGGTCGCACACGTTCTCCTTGCGCCAAAGAGAGATCAGTGATTATGTTGATCCCTGTACTTGGTCCGTGCGCACGGGCCAAGAAATCGTTTTCAGGTTCCAATTTTCTGATACGGGCCACCGTGAGAGATATATGCGCCGACTCCTTTATAATCTTGCCAAGATTTCTAGTCATGTATAAACGGTCGGTAGTGAACATTGGTTCATCGCTGTTAATGTCGATGAATTTATCTGATATTCTAAACGAAAGTTCGGTCTCAATTTACATAATATTACCACCCGATCTTCACTAAATACAGGTTTTCCCATAAATTCTTGGTATTTGCTGCACATTGTTAACATTGTCATGACCGAAACGAAGGATTTCATTTCGTTGCCATTGTCGCATTAAATAGGCATACTTGTATGCAGAGGATGCTGACCCCACCCAGGTAAATCAGCAACTAGGCCCAATATAATGATTCAAATTGTATTTATTTTGTGTGTGCATGACCTACCCATATGTTTTCACCTTATTAGTTACCAGTAGGAAAGTATTTAAGGTATTTAAATAAACATTTTCTTTTCTTGACGAAAAATTGTTCAGTAGTCCATTACATTTTTCTTCTTGCCAAAATATTTTATTAAACGAACACACATGACCACTATAGCTAATATTTTTTAAATCTCGTTTTTCCCCTTTGGAGCTCGAATTTTACAAAAGCCTTTCTTAGTACGCACCTACACTATGATGGATACTATTAAAGGATACTTGAGTCCAAATTTCAGTTTCCTAGCTCTTACCGTTTGTGCTGTGGAGTGTTGATTGTGTTTCAATTTTTCCACGGGAATTATTTTGAATTCTTTCATAGAATACAAGCCCAAAGTTTAAAGCCAATCAAATGAAAATTGCGTATTTTTCATACAAATGTTCGATACCGTTTTCCCCTCTTTGGAGTTCGAATTTTCCAAAGCCGCTTCTTAGTGGGCTGTGCGTTGATTGCACATACATATGTAGCTTTTCGTGTCCCGATTTTTCCACGGGAAAATCCCAATTCAGGCCCCAGGAAAAATAGCGAAAAACCAAGTATACAGTTTTTCTGTGCGTTGATTGCCAATCAGTCATGACAAACTGTTTTATATACAAGGTGCGTTCCAAAGTAAACAGGACTTTTTGAACATAGCGCCCCCTGGTGGCGCTATCTATATATCGACTAGTGCGTTAGAATTTTTATCGATTGTGCAGTGAGAATTTCATGACATTTCATCGATTGGAAGTGGAGTTATTGCGTTTTAAGTGAAAATAAGCTTCGAACAAAGAGCCAACATTCAATTTTCTTTTAAAATTGGTAAAACTTTTACTGAAACGTTTCAATTAATGGAACAAGTTTATGGCGATGATTGCCTATCCCGTAGCAGAGTGCCCGAGTGGTTTCAACGTTTTCAAAGTGGTCGTGAGGACATAAATGACGATCAACATGTGGGCCAATCAAAATTCGTGATCAACGAAAATTCCATCGAAACTGTGCGTGAATTCATCAAAAATCAGCCGAAATCATCATTGAAATTGATGGAAATGGAATTGAACATCTCCAAAACATCGATTTATCGCATTTTGACCGAACATTTGGGCTTACGAAAGGTGTGTGCTCAGACGATCGACGCTTGTGACCGATTATTTGACCAAAAATCACATTTTAACCATTAACCACTCGCCGTATTCACCTGAATTGGCACCGTGCGACTTCTACCTTTTCGGAAAAATGCATTTGCCCATGAAAGGAAAACGGTTTGCAGACGTAGAGGCCATTCCAAAGGCTTGCACCGGCATACTGGCGGCCATATCGGCCAACGAGCTGAAACACTCGATCGACATGCTTTTGGATCGTGTAAAAAGCTGTATTGAAGCAGAAGGAGACTATTTTGAATAAAATAAATTGATTTTGCCGAAAAAACCATTTGTTCTGGTTTTTTTTGTTAAGTCCTGTTTATTTTGGAACACCCCTTGTATATACTTTATGGGGTTAGAGATGCTTCCTTCTGCATGTTA